GAGGGGAATGGGAAGTGATTACTAATGGGTATAGGTTTCCTCTGGGGTGACAGAAGCATTCTGTAACTAGATAGGGGTGGTTGTACAACATTGTGAAGGTACTAAATGCTTCTGAATTGTACCCTTTAAAATGGTTAAAATGGGCTAGGCGTGGTGGCTCACATCTGTAATACCAGCACTTTGGGAAGCCAAGGCAGGTGGATTGCTTGAGCCAAAGAGTTTGAGACTAGTCCAGGTAACATGGCAAAACCTCGTCTCTACAAAAAAATTAAAAAGTTAGCCAGGTGTGGTGGCATATGCCTGTAGTCCCAGCTACTCGGGTGGCTGAGGCAGAAGGATCACCTGAGCCCAAGAGGTTGAGGCTGCTGAGAGCCATGACTTTCGTGATCATGCCACTGCACTGTAGTCTGGGCAACAGAGTGAAACCCCGGCCAAAAAAAAAAAGGGGGGTTAAAGTGGTAATTTTATGTTAAGTGTATTGTTACCATAGTCAAAAAATAAACCTGGGCAGCCCCCTCGGGTCCCCTCCCACTGTGGGAGCTTCTCTGTCCTCTTAATAAATCCTGCTTTCCTCAAAAAATAAAAAATAAAAAACAAACCTATGCGATTAGGCCCACTTATCCCAGCATGTCACATGGGACTGTGTGGTCCCACTGGTGTCTGCCTGTTCAGCTGCCCTTCTGTTTCCCTCAACTCCTCCATGAATGGGATGGCTTACACACTGCCGCATGTGCACAAAGCCTTACGCCCCAGCATGCGCACAAGCAGTCTCTTCGTCTGCAGGGCATCTCTCCACCCCACTCCACCCACCTGTCTGTCCAGCGATCTCCTGCAAGACTCCCCCCAAGGAGTCTTCCCCTGACACATCTACAACACACCCATTGTGAATTTCCTTCTGTCTTCTGTTATCTAAGTAGGCACTACTGAAAAACTACTGTCAGGTCTGTTTCTAGTTCTAGAGAGAATTGTATTGTTTTCTTTCTTCTTCCTTTCTTTCTTTTTTTTTTTTTTTTTTTGAGCTGGAGTCTCACTCTGTCGCCCAGACTGGAGTGCAGTGGCCGCTCCCGGCCACCGCAGCCTCGACCTGCTGGGGTCCGGCGATCCTTCCACCTCAGCCTTCCAAGTAGCTGGAACTACAGGCGCGTGCTACCATGCCCAGCTAATTTTTTAATTTTATTGTAGAGCTGCAGTCTCGCCAAGTTGCTCAGGCGGGTCTCGAACCCGCGGGCTCGGGCAATCCACTCACCTCAGCCTCCCAAATACACCGGATTATAGCCTGAGCCACTGAGCCCGGCTGCATTGTTTTCTAAACGATAAAGTGGAACGAAGCTTTAAAGTGTTTGTCTAACTCTGTTTAAATTCATTACACATTTGTGGCCCCCTGCAACATCTGGAACATATGAGTTTAGAGGCATCAAAAAAAAAAAGTTTTTGCTCAGGGAGCCTTGAGATTAATCTTGTCACATTTAAATATGTAATCACGGTCCTGCCACATTTTGTTACACCGCTAAAAGCTGCCCAGTGGTTTGTGTCCTTGATTTGTGAGTGGTGAGCGGCTTGGCTATAAACAACAAAGTGGTTTATTTTTCATCACTCAGATTTATTTTTGAACTTAACGTTGGTAAAATGCTCTCAGTGAATCTGCTGAAGAATATACTTTGGAAATTTTGTGGCAGGTAAAATAACCTTTGTTCCTTTTTTTTTTTTTGAGTTGGAGTCTCACTGTTGCCCAGGCTGGAGGGCAGCGGCAGGTTCATGGTCACCACAGTTTCAGCCTGCTGGGCTCAGGTGATCCTTCCGCCTCAGCTGTCCAAGTAGCTAGAACTACAGGAACGTGCCACCACACCCGGCTAATTTTTTTACTTATTGTAGAAATGAGGTCTAGTCATGTTGGTCAGGCTGGTCTCAAACCCGTGGGCTCAGGCAATCCTCTAACCTCTGTCTCCCAAAGTGCTGGAATTATAGGCATGAGCCACTGTGCCCAGCCTGTGTTCTTCTTTGATGTACATAGAGAATTCCCTGGTTTGCCCCAGAATGAAAAAGTTCTCAACAGTGGTTCTCAACAAGTAGTTGGAACAATCGCATTGGCATCGCTTTGGAATTGTGCGATACGCAGAGTCTCAGGCCCTGCCCTCGACCTCCAGAGTTGGAAAGCCTGGGGGCGGGGCCTCCCAATCTGTTTGAACAAGCCCAGGTATTTTTATGCACGTTCAAGTTTGAGAACCACTGTTGTAAACAACCCCTTTAAGCCAAAATTCCTGATGAAAATTTAAGAACACTGAATGTTCTAGGGTACTTAGGTGGACATGGGCATTTTGATTCTGGATGTTGAAAATTTTAATTATTGGAAGAATAATGAGAATGACCAATATTTATTGAATTCCATACCAGACCAGGCACTGTGCTAAGTGTTCCAGGGACATTATCCACGAACTCCTCACACAACTCACAGCTAGTCCTAGAGGTAATGCTTCTTTCTCAGTTGTATGGTAAAGGAAACTGAAGCTCAGAGAGGTTGAGTTACTCGTCCAAATTCACACAAGGTGCAGTGCCTCCTGTCATGCTGCTGCAGCTAACTTCTGAGTCCAGGTTGTGAGCACTGTGCTCTCTAGACTTAGTTAACTGCACTTCGGCTCCTGGAGTCAGAATGACCTTTAGCTCTTGGGCATTCAATTTATTGCTGTTCCAGACCACTGCTGCCAAACTCACTTCCAGTTGAAGCAGCTGGGTTTTGTCACACATATGACTTCCTTAAATGTCCTCAGCTGAGCTGAAAATGCACAGAACTCACTCATCAGATTCCTGTCAAGATCGGAGATTTGGATGAGAATCTGCAGGAAGAAAATTTCTAGCCTTAGATTGTGGGGGCAGCAAACATTTTCCTCTAGTGTCGCATGAAGGGGCTCTTGTCACACATGTTTATTTTCAGTCTGTGACCAATAGTGGACCATGTTGGGCTTCCGGTTGCAAGCTTGGACACAAATGGTAGATGGGTTCCACTGTCATTGCAAGGAAGCAGAAATGACAGTTGATCAAGTGTAGCATCACGCAGAAGTCTCCATTGGCATGTGAAAGGGGGAGGTCCAGTATCACATTTGCAAATGTTGCTCTTCCTCCCTCACCTACCTCAGAAGGCTGTTGGGAGGGTGGGTCAAAATGTTTGGCAACTAAGCTGCAAAGTTCAGCTCAAATGAAAGGAAAGAATGGGCAAGTACTGGGATTTGATTAAACACGCTGGTGTTGGTATCAGAAGTCAAGGTTCTTGCTAGGTATCTCACAATGGTGTGATGTGGAGAAGCCACCTGACAGTTCCAAATAACTCTGTTACCTCAACACTCCTGTGAATGGTGCTCCCTGCCATTGTGCGGTGTATGGCTTATATAGCTGTGAACTGCAAGGTAAAATTTATCTAGTAACGCTGATCCTACTTACCTCCCAGCAAAGTTGGAGAATAGTGATTATTAAAAGGTGGGGGGACTTTTTTTGAATCGGGGTCTCACTCTGTGGCCTAGATTGACAGGCAGTGGCATGATGGTCCTAGCTCACTGCAACTTCAAACTTATGGCCTCAAGTGATCTCTTATCAGTTCCCGAGTAGCTGGGACTACAGGCACACTCCACTATGCCCAGCTAGTTTTTAAAATTTTTTGTAGAGACAAGGTCTTGCTATGTTGCTCAGACTGGTCTTGAATTCCTGGGCTTAAGCAATCCTCTCGCCTCGGCCTCACAAAGTGCTGGTATTACAGGCTTGAGCCACTGTGCCGGGCCAAGATTTTTAAATATAATAAATGCACTCTGCAAATACACTTTTCTTCCTGCCTCAGTTTCCTTCAGATTGAAGCTGGTAAAGTAACCCAGTCTCTTATGAAGGGCCTTTGGAAGGTGATCCTTAGTTGCTGATTGTGATTCAGCACCTCGAAAATCCCTTGATTGTGTGTGTTTACTCACTTAATTCACCAGCAACTCCGGACCATTCTCCACACTTGCAACAGAATGTCTCAGGCCACACTGCCCTCTTCTGCACATGGGTTCCCAACTCTCAGAGTCAGTTCTTGCCCTACTGGCATCGAATCACGCAGCCTTCCTCTTTCCCTCTATTTGGAATATTTGCTGACATCAGAAGCTTAACGGGGCAGAGACAGATGTTCTGCAGTTTAAAACATGATCTTTTATTTCAGGTGCCAAGGTTTTTGTTTTATTTGTTTATTTAGAATAGAAATTTCCCCTTTATTACTGATAAAGACTAAGATGGAAGGTATTGCTCAATATGCTGGCAAGTTGGGGGTTGGCCAGCTGAAGGGTAGGACTAGGTACACAATCCACCCAGCTGTGGGCAGAACTGGCCTGGGGTTGACCTCCACATCTCAGGAGCTTAACCAAGTAAGAGTTACAGCACAGAAATCCCAAGTGGTGGGGAGCAGGCAGGTCATTCTCAAGAGGAAAAAGACAAGGAGCATACACACGAAAGATGAACACAGCTTTGCATAAAATTAAACTTGTGTACGCTTTAAAAATTTTCCAGCCAGGCACAGTGACTCACGCCTATAATCCCAGCACTTTGGGAGGCTGATGTGAGAGGATTGCCTGAACCCACAGGTTTGAGACTAGCCTGGGCAACTCAGTGAGCCCTCATCGCTACAATAAATAAAAAAAAGTATCCAGGCATGGTGGCGTGTGCCTGTAGTTCCAGCTACTTGGAAGGCTGAAGTGGAAGGATTGCCTGAGCCTAGCAGGTCAAGGCTGGGATGGCCATGAACGTGCCACTGCACTCCAGCCTGGGTGACAGAGTGCAACTCCCCCCCCAAAATAAAAAAATTTCCTAACTTAAGGTCTATTATTAAAGCTATCAACACAATAGGCAGCTTATCTAAAGGCATGGATTGGTAGAACATGTTCTGAATTTCATGTAAACTTTAAAGATACTTTAGTCTGAATGCAAACTTTCCATTTATTTAGAATAACCATTTCTCTAAATTTCCATTCTTTTTTTTCTTCTTGAAGGTGATTGTTCGAGGTGGAGGACACATTTTACCCTATGACCAGCCTCTGAGATCTTTTGACATGATCAATCGATTCATTTATGAAAGAGGATGGGATCCTTATATTTGATAAACTACTGTCTTAAAAGAAAACATCAGATGTTTTCATCTTTGGGGAAAAAAATTAAAAACAATATGTCAAATAAGAAGATTATCTTTTTATATCTGCAAGATGTTTCTCATCAATAAAAATTATCCTTGAAACAATGAGATTTTGTTTTGTGGGGAGATGGTTTATAACAAAATTAACATGAGTGCATGAGTAAGAATTACATGATTAACTTAAAGGATGGAAGGAACAGATTCTGTGGCACTGAGTCAGACAAAGATGGATAAATGAGATATTGGGGTCTTGAACAGGAATTTTTAATTCCTCCTAAGAGTAAGTGAAAAGTACAATAAATAAAGTTGTAACAATATCTTGTTCTGTAAATAACAGAGGAGTTTGTCATATCATACATATGAGAGTATTTGAGATAATAGTTGAATTATCACCCCCAAAGGAACAGTTGTTATTATAGTAGTTGTGAGGAAGAGATTTTTCAAATGTGTAAGTCTTAGAATGAAAAGTAGCTTGGAATTCATTGAAATACAAATCTTATATATAAAAGTAATGATGTACCAATTCATGATAAGCAGAAGATCTTACTAAGAAACATACTGAATCTTTGCCTTTTCATCTTTTTCTTTTTTTAATTTGTTAGTTCATTTGAGGTGTACACACTTTCAGACAGCCTGCAGGTTACAAGATCCATTTTAAACTTAGGTTTTAAATTCTCTACTTGTTTTTTTTACCAAATAAAGAACAAAGTAATTTTGCATAATTGTTGGGATACCAAAACATTAAAAATAAATTGGCATCAAAATGGGGATATACATTTATAAATATACATATACACACATTAGCAATTTTCCAACTAAAATAGCACATTTTTCCTGTTTATGCATCACGTGCCCACATCTCTTTGAAATTCTGCAGCACACATGTCTTTTTCCACATCAATTACCTCTCATATTACCCACCTATGAATTGGTTCAATGGAGAATTAAATTTAGAAGTCAAAGTTCGTTCTTGCTGCAAAATACTTCACTTAGTTTGTTCTTTAATTTCTCATTTTGTGCTTGATTTCATTGAGGTTTGTGATCTTCAGTTTTTTTTCCTAATACATATTGTGCATTGTACTAGAAGTCATTAAATCAAACATTCTGATCAAAGCCGATTTTAATTATTGCAGAGGAGAAATTGGGGTGGGAGAGTTGCAAGAAGTTTTTCATATAGCCCTATTTGCAAGAAAAATGAGCTGTATTTGGTCTCATCAATATGTACTGGAAAGGGCACTGACTGTCGCTGGAAGACCTGAGATTAAATCTCATGAGTTGCACATGCACTGGATGTTTTTGGAGAAGTCATTTCACAGCACCAGCCTCCCAAAGACTCAAAGAAAGTAGCCAGAAGAGGAGATTTCTGAGGTTTCTTCCAGTTCACACATCACTGGACTTGCACCTACTTATAAGGGTACTATGAGCTGATACAGTCCCTCCTCATTATTCAAGGGTTCTGCATTTACAACGGCAGTCTACTTGCTAAAAATGTATTTGTAACCCCACATCAATATTCGCTCTTTTAAAGTCATGCAGAGTGGCAAAAAACTTGGGTTGCCCAACAAACATGTTCTCAGCTGAGATCAAAGAAGGCGACCCTCTGCCTTCCTGTTTTAGCTATTATACTATAAACAAGTGCTCTTTTCTGATCTGTTTAATGCCACGTTCTTTGCATTTTTGTGCTTTTTGTGGCTGATTTTGCTGTTTAAAACGGCCCCAAGCATAGTGCTGAAATACCATTTAGTGTTCCTGAGTAGCCAGAAGACTATGATTGGGCCCACAGAGAAAATACTAGGGTTAGGTAAGCTATGTTCAGGAATGAGTTACAGTGCTGTTGGCCCTGAGTTCAATGAATCAACAACATATATTAAATAAAGTGTCTTTATTTATTTATTTATTTTGAGTCAGAGTCTCACTCTGTTGGCCAGGCTGGAGTGCAGTGGCATGCTCACAGCCACCACAGCCTCAACCTGCTGGGCTCAGGTGATCCTTCTGCCTCAGCCTTCCAAGTAGCTGGAACCACAAGCGTGTGCTACCATGCCCGGCTAATTTTTTGATTTATTGTAGAGACAAGATCTTACCATGTTGCTCAGGCTGGTCTCGAACCCCTGAGCTCAGGCAATCCTCTCGCCTCCACCTCTTAAAGTGCTGGGATTACAGGCTTGAGCCACAGGGTTCAGCTAAATAAAGTGTCTTTAAACCAAAACACACCTTGAACAAGTTGTGTATTGATCAGTTGACAAGAATGTTGTGACCAGAGACTTGAAATAACCTAATCCTATAATCCCCCCCCACCCCACTGGGAGCAATGATTCAGAGTTTGCTAATTTCCTGTTTGCAGAGATGTTATAGAATATAACTACAGTGGATAAAGAGAATTGACTGTATTTATAGCGCACTTAGCATAGGAACTGACACAAAATAATAATAGCTCAATAAATGGAAATCATGAATGTTTTCATTTTTATCATCTCCCTGGCCCAAGCACTGTAACAGAGGAGAGTGTTGGGGTGGGGGTAAGCGGAAAATCTTCCAGGCCTTCTAGGAACAACCCTCACCAACTCACTTGAAGGTATAATCCTATGGAGGCTGAATCTGGTGGATATTTTACTTTAAAAGAAGGGAGGGAAAGGTAGTTTAGAGACTAAAGAAAATTTGATTTTTGAATTTAATTGGAGGAGAGTCCTTTGTGTAGAGAATCTCCAAGTGGACTGCATGTCCTCCAAAAATGTTCAAGATAATCCATTAAGGTCCAAGGAGGAATCACTAAAGCGCCTGTCTATATTTGTTTCATTTCTGTCTTAATCCATTTAGTGTTGCATGAAGGAATACGAAAGTCTGGGTAATTTAGAAAGAAAAGAGGTTTATTTTGCTCACAGTTCCGCAAGCTGTACCAGAAGCATGACATCAGCATCTACATGTGGTGAGGGTCTCAGGCTGCTTCCACCACGGTGGAAAGGAAAGGGAAGCCAGCCTGTGCAGAGATCACATGGCAAGAGGGGGAACAAAGGGCAGGGGAAATTGTCAGATTCCTTGTAACAACAAGCTCTTATGGGAATTAATTAATAGAGCAACTCACTCATTACCACTAGGGACAGTACCAAGTCATTTGTGAGGGATCCACCCCATTACCCCAACCCCCCCCAGTACACCCTACTTCCAATACTGGGGATCAAATTTTAACACAAGATTTGGAAGGTTGAAACAAACCACACTAAAGCAATTTCAAAATGAGAACATGATTAAACTTTAGAGCATTGAATGCTGGATTGTCACCATGCCCTCCTTCCATCCAGAAGTTAGATGGTCAGATAACTCATGTGACTGCCATTGCTGTAAGCAGACAACATCCACAAAGAGAGGGAGGTATATGGAGAAGGGTCCACAGAGGCCTCTTTTCATGGTTCCGGGTCCAGCATATTGTCAAGAATAACAATTGACATACAGGATGTGATCAATGTGGTTAATTTCATAAGAAACAAAGTCTTCAAATAGTAGGATCTTTAAAACGCTTTGCAATTTGATGGGGAATGACCAAGTGGGACTCTTGTACCACACTGGGCATCTCATGGCAGTGCACTTAAAGGAGTTGTGGAATCTGAGAATGAGTCATGGATTCTTTCTTTGACAAAAAGACAAGCAGACGTGTTGTCATTCTCTGTCTTGACAAGTGGCTGTCATTAGTACATCACCTAGCGTATATTTTTTTAAAAAGTAAGCACACAATCTGTCCTTTCAAGGTAGAAGTGATACTTTCACAATTAATGAGAAAGTTAATTTATTTTCAAAAGAAATTGAATCTATGGCAAGAGCATTTTGAAAACAGATGTTTGAAAATGTTTCCACCTTACAGCATGCACATTACATAAACAAAAACAAAAACAACCCTTAAAATCGAGGACGATTTCAACATTTGTCCTTATACTAGATAGATGGGATCGAAAAATGAGTTTTGGGAATTAGTAAGGCTCATCTAATGAGGCATCTCTTCCATTTGGCTCTACATATCTCTGTGAAGTGTTTTTTTAAAGCTCTAATAGACTTTGAAACCAAGCATTAAAATAAACTGAGTGTATAGCCAGACATCTGAAATGCTATTATCACAAAAAGGGCAACCCAAGATTTTTTGAAAATGACAAGGCATGTTCAACACATTGATCCTATTAAAGATATTAATGGTAACATTTCAGAGAGCAAAAGCATCTTTTACAGTTAAAAATCAAATATAATTTTTAAAAGTATTTTACATTTTATCTTTATTTTATCCTTTTGCATTTTCTACTTTGATTAAAATTTTGTAATGTAAACACTGTTTGTATAGTAGTGGCATGATTGTACATTATAAGTGAAGAAATAATTGTACATATCTTGGCAATTTCTTAATGATAGGATTGATAATGAAAAAGGTTCAGAGATTATGGCTTGAGAGGACAGAAAGTCTAAATTTAAAAAGTGGCCTTAAACTTTGGAACCATTTTGCCATGTTTAAAAAAAAAAAGGCAAGGCATTTAACAATATATGATGCTTTCTTTTATTTGAAAGAAAGAAAAGGAAGGAGACACGTGTGTACAAGTGTGTGCACGTGCACGTGCACATGTGTGCATGCACACACACACTCACACACATGCCTGAGTTTCCACAGTTAATGGCAGAGCCCATCAGGACACAAAGCTGGGTCTCCATTAGTCAAACCCAACCTCTTTCCACTGAGGTACCCTTCCTCCTGATCCTCGGCTCTTTCTCTCTTGATGACATCAGTAGGTCAGAGTTAGGACTTGTATTGTCATTAACAGTGGGCTTTATTGTGAAAGTGGCATAAGCATAAACCAGATTCTTGGAAAACTTTCAGATGCAGTATCCATGGTTGAAAGACTCAAGAGGAGCTAATGTGAACATGAACTGTGATTCTCTGGGAAGTACTAAGAGCTTTCATTTAATTATTTATGTTAAGTTCCTGAGTTATCTTTTCTTGTGCCACAAACAGTATACAGATAAGGCTAGAAACCAAGGCCAGGATCTTGTGACAAGTTGCTTGACTTAATCCCTGACTTCTTTCCTGAGGAAAGTCTGGCATTCTCTTCATTTCTTCTTGTGAATAATAGGAT